TAAATCAAGAAGTTTTTATTAAGCTCCTCTTATGTGCTGAGTATACGAATACAAAAACAAAACTTTCTGCTCTCAGGGAGCTTGCATTCCATTGAGGGACAAACATGTAAATGTAAAATGCATGCAAAGTCATTACAAGGGAAATGTGGGGCTAGCTACATGGGAGAGAACACTAGCAGATGGCAGAATTGATAAAGGTTTCATCTAGGTGATAACACCTGAGCCATAAAGGTAGCTAGGGATTCAAAGAGGTGGAAATGAGAAAGGAAGGGAATGAGTGTCAAAGGACAGGGTTGTAAATCAATTCTAAGCCAGGTAATGATAACTACATTTCTGTGGCTCTTTAAGTTTTACAAAGTATTTTTCTCATAGCAATGAAGGAACTAATATTCTGTGTGGTAAGTGATTTGCTATACGGGCCGCACGCCAACCCTCTGCCAGTCATGCGCCAGTACCCACTTCTCTTAAAAGAAGTGCACTGCCAGAGTCTTACCCACTCCTGGGTCTTCAGTCCTCAGCCGGATCACCACACAGAGACAAGCCATCGGGAGGCACCAACACCAGAGCTTTATTCAGAGGCCAACACAGCAAACCATCATAGCAAGCCCAAACAGCAAGGCCAGAGCAACAGGGCAGGAGCCAGGGGAGAGCGCACGTGTGTGATCTGACCACGCTTGTTCCTAAATACCTACTTAGCCCCTCCTCCCCAGCCCGCTACTAGCCAATGATTGTAGGGTCAGATACCGGAAGGGGCTGTCTGAGTTTAGCACACCAAGGGGGAGGGAGTGACGTAGAAGGCTAGGATTGGATACAGGAAGGAGGCATCTGGGATTGACGCATAGACAAGAGTACATGACCTAGGAAGTCAGACTCAGGAGGGGACTGGGTCAGTGCTGCACAAAGGGACCCGGAGGTCAGGAAGGTCACAAGAGGCATCTGGGGATGACGTTGCATATAGGGAGGGGACTAAGCAGAGGGAACTCAGTCCTCTGCCATCCCACTCCCACGTGGCACCGCCCCTTGCCTCAGGAGCTCAGGCTCGGCTACTTCCTTGCACCCAGCTTATCTCATAGCACTGCCCAATTGCCTCATGGCTTCTCCGTATCCAGCCCATCCCAGTACACACGACTCTGCCTACCACAGTCCCTGCCTCGACTTCCAAAATACCCAGATCTTACCTTACCCTTGCCACAGCACGCAACCTGGTAACTGCCAACATCAGACAGTCCCTCACAATTTGCCAATGATCTTATTGAGCCAGAATTCAAATTCAAACTCCTAATCCCAAGCTTACTGCTCTTCCTACTACTTCTCAGAGCAGGTAATGTCATAAATGTGATTACAATTCCCCAAATGTCATTTGGGAACCTCAGCTTGTGAACGTGAAAACTTGCCTAGATACATGTATTTATCTTCTCCCTGTATCTGATCAATTAAAATTGTAGAGTATGGCAAATCATTAAAGTTTGGAGTTTGACTAAGGAGCTACATGTAATGTTGGACCAAAGACACAACAGGCCCAAAAATTGGGCTTTATTTTATTCTTTTATTCATTATTGTGGAGTGTTCAGTGGCAATATGATATATGCTTGTACCAATCCACATGGAAAACAAAAACCATTAGCATGCACTCTCTGAGCTGCTATCCTTTGTCCTCCAGTCCTTCATAAATTAGCTAGAATGTTTCTGATTTATAGTAGCAGTTAAGTACCCACACATGCCTATAACACATAAAAAGAACAATCAACTATACAAACACATATAGACTTAATTACAAGTACTGTTGGTGATATATATGGACAACAGTGAATATTTGAATGGGCAGTCTAAATTCCTTACAACCCTTTTATTAACCAAAAAAAAGCAATTACAGAAGACATGCTGAAAAGATATCTCTAGCACTCAACAGGGAAAGGAGTCGTAATAGGCCTAAACCTGGAAAGGTGGACAACACAAATCAGCAGAATGAGTAAGCATATGAACCCAACCCTTTCTCTACCATGGTGGTACTGAGTAGAGAAGGTCTTCTGCCAGGTTTTAAGGGAAACACTGTGCTCCTTTCCCTGTGATGTATGGCCATGTTATGTATGATTTCCCAATTCCAACAGTTTGGTCCAGCTAAAACAGATATGAATGTCATGGATTGCTATGCAGAGAGATATTGATTTAGAGGGATTACCCAGTATTCCTACCCATGACTCCTTCTGTGACACATAGAATAGACATCAATAACTGCTTGCTGTAATAGAGTAGGCTCAGTGACCATGATTTGTGAAAGGAGTGAAAGCTATGTAAAAAATGAAAGAAAATTCATCTTTAGAAAACTCCTGAAAAAGTTCCTATCCCAAGAAAACTAAGGTTTAAGTCCCTCTCTAGGAAAAGGAGAAACTCAAAGAGAGATGAAAGTAATCAGGGTCCAGTCAGAAGCAAAAGAAAGCTGCCAGTATGAGCTTCTGCAACCATCACCAGCTGCCAATATGGCACGGAGCATGTGAACCCAGCTACTCCTAAGAACCTGTAGGGTCAGCCTATGAGAAAGGAGAAGGGAGATGGCTCAAAAAGTCTCTACAACTCTTTTATTTTTTCCAGTATCAAATATAAAATTCTCTGTTTAGCTTTTAAAACTCTTTCTCACCTGGCCCTTTCCTACCTTTCCAGTCTTCTTACACTTTAAGTTACTCCACATATTCTATCATGCAGCAAAACTGATTTTCTTGCCGTCCCTCACATGATACTCCAGTTCCCAACTCTGCCTTTGCACTAGCTATCTCTCCTATCTACAATATTCATTCTCCTCATCTCTGCCTCCAGGCTTCCTTCAAGATTCAGATCAAACCCCATCTTCTACAAGAAACCTCTCACAGCTCTGCCCCCTCATACTCCACCCTCACTGCTGGTGTCTTATTTCTAAGATTACCACCAATTTACACTTTACATATATTGTATATATGTAGCTATCTCCCTCATTAGAATATGAGCTCCTTGAGGGCAGGGACTGTCTTTGCCTTTGTATTTTTATCATTTAGCTTGTAGCCAGTAGGTGCTTAATGGATTATGGACTTTCTAGTCACATCCAAGAGAAAAGGTTTAGTAGGAAAATCTACAAAAGAAAAAAGAAGAGGTAAACTGGAGCAGAGTCTTGCTGAAGGTTCATAGGTGATTATGATTGAAAATGCCTTTGCCTCTTGAAAGGATCTGATGTTTCTTATAGCTCATCCCTTCAGAACCTCCATCTAATCCTCTTGTGAAGACTAGCAGCAGAAGACTAATGATAGATTAGTATATCAATACATTCCCTGAGAAAAATGGCTAACAATTTAATCAAAGAATACATTGTAAATTAGAGTTTTATTAGATAAGAAGCTGGTATTAGATTGACATATAATTATGCAGATATAATCACTGAATATTGTAAAATGAATAGCTCTCGTTTAAATTTATGTTATTTGAAGATTCCATTTAAAAAAAAAGATATCACATCAAATCAAGTATCTAGGGGCTAATGATCTAATTTCTGAGATGTCTGATCTTTCCACTACATATTCCTTTGGATGGCTGCTCTTTGGCTGTCATGTCGTTCATTAGCACACCCACCCAGGGTGGGAAAGAGAAGACATGGAATCCAAATCAGTTCATTTTGTTCCTTAAAAGCAACTCCGATCCTAGGTTGAAGGATGATGTTGAGATGATACGGCTAATGTGAGGCTTTTACATTATCTATGAATTCCTCTGAATATGTTATCTCTGTCTTCAGTTGCCATGGATAAAGAATTGCCAAAAGGTTCCATGATATCTCTGGATAAGGTAAGAACCAGTTTTCAAAGGGCAAATTCATAAATATGAATATTGTTAAGGAAAAAATATTACATCTATGCCCTCTGCAATGTAATGGGGCCACAAAGCACCTTGAGGATAATTTAGGTTCTACTATAAAAACGACATGTTCCATTTCAGTACTGAAGATTCTCTTTGCTTTAGATGAACTACCCCTATGATTTTGGTATGCTGCCACCAGAAGGCAGTAGTGAGTCCAAGATACGCAGGGTTTCTGTGCTCCTAAATCGTGGGTTCATTCTATTTTTAAGTGAACGTAACAAATATTTATCGAGTGACAACTATATGCTATATGCTATGAAGAAATAGTGTCAGATTAAGAAATGACTTGTGAAAAAAATTTTAAAAAAAGAAATGATGTGTCTTGGGTCACAATTTGAATTAAAGGAATTTATTTAAAAGTTATGCTTTTAATGAAATAATGCAACTTTTAAACCTTTAGAACAGATATAAAACAGAAAGAAATTGTTTGTATACTTCTCTAGTTACTTAGTAATTCTTAGCAAAACCACCAACAAATATGGCTTTATTTCCAAACCTTCAGGTATTTTTTTTTTTCGGTGAGGCCACTGGGGTTAAGTAACTTGCCCAGAGTTACACAGCCAGTAAGTATTATGAGTCTGAGGCTGCATTTGAACTCAGGTCCTCCAGGGCCGGTGCTCTATCCAATGCACCACCTAGCTACGCCCAAGTATTCTTTTTTCTTTAAAAAAAAAAAAAAACTCATCCATTAACCTGGGTTTAAATTCCACTTCACTTATTAATTGGTTGACCCTGAGCAAGTCATATAACCTCTCTGAATCTTAGTTTCTTCATCTGTAAAATAGGCCTAATAACTGCACTTGCCAAACTGGATCATTGTGAGAATGAAATCGCTTTAAATTCTCTAGGCTTCATTTTCATTTTCTATATAATGAGGAGACTGCACTAGATGTCCTCTAATGTCCCTTGCAGCTCCAGACCTATGATCTTATGGTCCTATGATATGAAATAATATAAATAAATCACTTTTCAAACCGTAAGGTGCTATATCAATGTGAGTTATCCTCATCATTACTATTATCCCCTGACAGCTTTTATCCCAGCTCCCAGCATTAGCTTTCTCAAGGCTCAGGAGTCATCTCACTAACTACAGCCCTAAGTTGTCAAAAGGCTTGGCCTGCCATTCTAGCTGTCTTTCTCTGCTTTAAAAAAAAAAAAAAAAAAAAAAGGTCAAGCCTTCTGGCTTCCTAGTAAAAATCTTATATTGTTTGTGCCAAAGTCCTGAGGAAGCTCCCTTTGTTTCTTGGCAAGTTTAATAGTGAATCCTTCAAAGAAATGATCCTTAACCTTCCTGTGGTAGGGATATAAGATAAAACTTCAACAATATGTCAAGGACCACACAGAACTGCCATTTCCACCTACATTAAGTTTTCATGGGGACAAATGTATCAGACAGAGATGAAGCCAGAAAGATTCTTTTTAACAGCTGTACAAAGGCTAAAAATGAAAAATAAAAATAAAAATAAAAATAAAACCTTTGTAAGAGACCAAGAAGACAGAAATCATTTGGGGATGACTTTAAGTGAGAATCACACAACTGGTCAGTATAGTCAAGTTCTATAATTCCACCTCCTATAGACTCTTCTGGAATAGAAGGAAAATGCTATTAATAAGCAGTCTTTTAACTCATATATCCTATTGGCAAAAGCCAGAGACAGTTAGTGTGGCCCCTCATTCTCTATTTTTCACTTGACCCTCAATTCTCTTATGGGTCCTAGAAGCAGAACGTAAATCTTGTCTAAGGCCTCCTTCCCCTTTGACAGAAGATTCCTCAAACAAGGAGTCCTTCCCATCTCCCTCAGGATCAGGGTTCAATGCTGACACATTTCACAGATGCTGAGATAAAACTTTTTCAGAAGCCATCTAGTTTAAACAATAAAAACAAGAGCCTCCCTTACATTATATTTAACAGGCAGTCTTTCAGCTTTTGATAAAAAAAATCATCAATGGAGGAAAAAACTAAAAAAAAAAATTCTAAATTTGACTATTTGCAATTCCCACCGCACTGTTCCTAGTTCCATCTTCTGAGGTCAAACAGAAGTCCAATTCCTCTTTCCCAGAACAGTTCTTCAAATACTGCTCCATGCTCCACCCAAATTTCTTCCCCAGGACAAACATTTGCACATCATTTGACTTGTCGTCATGTCACATGAACTTGAGGGTCTTCATGTTGTTTACTCTTCTATAAGATTATCTATCTTCTTCCTTAAATGTGCCCTCTGGAATGAACATAGAAATCAGACCATGCCAAATTTAGTCATTTCTCTAGTCTTGGATACAAAGCCTCTCATGGCAGTCTGAGGTTGTATTAGTTTTCCTGAAAACCATATCATAATCAAGGTTGTAGTATACGAAACTCCCAACATCTTTCTCAAGGAAACTATTGTCTAATGACACTTCCCCTAACTCTCATACATGTGTTTGTTTGTTTTTTAATCCAAATGTAACATTTTTCCCTATTCAAATTTCAGATTCACTGGTTTGTGCCAATGTTCTAGAATCCTTGGTTTCTCAAACATCCAGTGTGCTAAGTGTCCCTCTAGTTCTGTGTTATCTAGCAATTTCATAAGACTTCATTCAATGCTTTTATTCAGTTAATGGATTTAAAATGTTACACAGCACAGAACCAAGCACAGAACCCTAACGCTGGAGACCCTTCCAAGGTGACACTAAGCTACTCTTTGCATCTAACCATTCAACTATCTCCACCTAATTGTACTGTCATCTAGTTTACAGCCCATCAATTGTTTTTTAGAAGAAAAGCAGGAAAGACTTTGCTAAATTCTTTTTATACTCTAGGCAAACTAAAGCTTGTAGACACAGTGCCTTGCACATCCTGTAGCATGATTTTAATAAATATGAACCAATTTGAATTCTCAAATCATTTCCTCTCATCCTTTTCTAGTAAGTCTTTCCATTCATATACCATTATTAATACCCTCCTATATGGGTATCATTCTATATTGTGCAGAGATCTCATCCCAAGGGAATGACTAGGAATTTAACAGGCTCATAATTTGCAGACATACCTTTCCCTCTTCTTCTTCTCCCCCTTAAAGAGTATTTCCACCCCTATCCAACATCACTGAAACAAGAATAGTATTTAGTAAAACAGTATATTTGCTTGTCCTCCCAAACCAGGGGTGGGGAACTTGCGGCCTTAAGGCCACATGTGGCCTTCTAGGTCCTCGGTGCAGCCTTTTGACAGAGTCCAAGTTTTACAGAACAAATCCTTTTATTTAGGGGATTTGTTCTGTGAAGTTTGGATTCAAAGGGCCTCACTTGAAGACCTAGAGAGACACATGTGGCCTCGAGGCTGCAGGTTCTCCTCCCCTGTGTCCCAAACCCTCAGGGTCTTTTGCTTTTTGCCTGTATTGGCACTATTTATCTGTTGATTATCAATTTTCCAGTGACCTAGACAACACATTATTCCACATTAGCCCTACTAAGTGCTTGCTGTCATTCTCTAGTCATTTATTTCTACTTTCTGGGTTTTCTTTTCCTTATCTATAAAATGAAGAAGCTGAAATAGATGGTCTTTAAGACCCCTTCTAGGTCTAAATCCTATGAGGCTGTTATTTTATCCTCCCAAGTTCCACAATCCCATAATAAATCTCCTTTAGGTCTATCTCACTAGCTAGTCTCTCTTCACCTGGTGCTTTATTACCCATCCCTTGATCTTTATCCTGTTGCTTCCGTTTCTCCTCCTTGCCAGCCCTTCCCTAGAAAAACAAAAACAAAACACTCAGTGCTCTTCTCAGAGGTTGCTGTTTTGGGGACTGGGGAGTAACCTGCCTTGAATGGGTACATTATTAGTTAAATCACCTATAGGAAGATGACATTCTTGGGCATAACTATTATTAAGTTGAGATTTATCTAGAGTTTAGTTTACACAATACTTGGCTTGTGAGAATCAAATGATTGTCTCAGCTGATTTTCCTAACAAATATGAGAGGCATCAAAATGTAAATACTATGACTTCTATTTTGCAGATGAGAAAACTGAGGTTCGGAGAAGCCCAAGTCACACAGCTAATATACAGGAGCATTAGGAAACTGAAACCCAGAGTTTATGACTCCAAAGTCAGTATCCATAGTGTCACACTTCAGCTGACTAGGTACAATGGCTAAGGTCCTTTTGGGTCACAGACTGTGAATAAGATGGCTTTAATCTTATTCCTAAGGAAGTTGAAGGAATCAAGTTAGGCACTGGTTGGGGCCTGAGTGGAACAGGGAAATCCTTTGTGGCCTCCCCACCACCTCCTAGTCATTATGTATCTCGGAACTCAAGCTTTTTCCTCTCTTTATAGTGAATACCTGACGACGTTAGTACAATCCATCTTCAAAGCTAGTCACTTACCTTACATAAACATGGAGTAGTGCAGAGATAGGCTAACTTTCTCCATGTTTACAGAATTTCTGTTTCTTCTAGCTCACCTTCCACTCCTTCATTTCACAACATTCCACCTTTACCTCTGTAGAGTTTGAGATTATTCTATTTTTCTCATTAATGTTATTTTTTTAAAAAATGTGTTGGAGGGGAAAGGTTTCAACCCTTTTACCATGACTGTGGGCTAAAAGAACAAATTGCTTTTTCAATTCTATTTTTTTTTCCTTGATGGTGACAAACACAATGCCAGAACAGCTGATTTAAGGATGTTTCCCAAGAGAATTCAAAACTATCAATAGAATGAGACCTTATCTTTCCATTCCCTTTCCACTAAGAAGACTGGCTGTTTTAAAAAAGAAGAAAAATAACCTTTCCACTCATGATGACTAACAGCAAACAGAACAATTCTTGCTTTAGTTCTCCCTAACTAAACTGCTGAATTTCCTTTCCTCCTTCTTTGTGGTCCTCTTCTATATGACTTCTCATGATTGTGGTCCACTAAGGAAAGTATAGAAGTGACAGTGATAAACAATTATAACAGCTCCAAACTGTAAAAATAATAATGGCAAGTATGACTGCCCCCTATCAAATAAGGAAATATACTTTGTTCTTTCGGACTTCAGAAATGATCATTTCCAGAGGGGAAAAAACAACAAATTTTTGTACATGACAGCTGTGGGAAATGCTTTTATTTAGCAACTAACATTCAAATGTCTTCAGTGCATTATTCACTGCATTAATCCAGGACAAAATGTCAATATCTATGAATTTACCTTTTTCTGAACCTGATTTCTCCTATCAGAGCAAAGGAAAAGAAGATTAAAGCCTGCTTCCAGTGCGAAGGGTAAGATTTGGATCTTTTAGTCATTAAAGAAACACATTTATATAATTTGAAAACATTCTGATTTCAAGTGGAAAGTTTCCAGGAGTGGGGAACCTGAGGCTTTAAGGCCACATGTGGCCTTCTAAATTCTTAAGTGTGGCCCTTTGACTGAATCCAGATTTTACAGAACAAATCCTTTTAGAAGGCCACATGTGACCGTAAGGCCGCAGGTTCCCCACCCCTGGCACCTTTTGAGTGATGGCATAGTACTATGGAAAGAGAATTGTCTCTGGAGTCAGAGGACCTGGATTCAAATCCTGCCTCTGATGTTTACTGTCTCTGTGACTTTGGGCAAATCATTTAACCTACCCTTGGTTCTTAGTTTCTCCGCTTGCAAAATGAGAAGGTTGGACTTGATGAATTCTGACTTCCCTTCCAGCTCTAGAAAAGGGTTCTTTACCTGGAGTTCATCAATTCGGATAGAAAAAAATTATACCTTTATTTTTACTAAATTCTAAGTGAAATTTAGCATATCCTTCAATTACATTTTTTTTAAAAACCCATTGTTCTGAAAAAGGTTCCATAGGGTTTTCCCATACTGCCAAAGGGGCTCATGACACACACAAAAAAAGATTAAAAGCCCTGCTCTAGAGCTACGATCCTATAGTCCTATGGCTAGAAATACTGAATGGGACATTTGGGTAAAACCCTAGTAATGGACAAGGAGAGATATACACCTTTGAGGGTAGCTAAGTGACATAGTAAATGGAGTGCCTCACTTGTAGTCAAGAAGACCTGAATTTGAATCCTGCCTCAGACACTATTGGTGTGATCACAGACAAGTTAATTTACTCATGCCTCAGTCTCCTCAGCTGAAAAATGAGGGAGTTGGACCCGGCCTCAAAGGTCCATTTCAACTCAGAATCTAGGATTCTTTGGCCCTATGTCCTCTAACTCAATGCTGGTTTTATAACTCTCACAAAGTTGCAGGGAAAATAAAGGACAAGTTATTGAAAACAACTTCCTATAGGTCTCTTCTACCAACAGCTCAGAGTAGTAGCAGCTTCTGAATCTTCATTGTATTCCCTACAGATATCGCTCAAAGGATCTTAACGAGGCTGATGTGAGATTGGCCTGGACACCATCCCTGGGTCTCATTCTTGCCACCTTTGTCACTGACTTCTCTCTTGGCAGAAAGTAGTAAAGAGCTGCTAGTGACTCCCTGAAAGAAATGCAAGAATGTGTTAGAAAGTGAGTGAAGAGACCCCAAATATAATATCCCTATCAGCCAGGCATAAATCCTCCCTCTGTAGAAATAAGCAGAATATTAATAGGTAGAAGATCTTACTTTCTGGGAAAGCGAAAAAAAAAGGTACCACATTTTCCTTTACTACAATTATAGAATGGGATTAGTTATAAGTAGATATAAGTGACAGGAAAATAATGATAGATTGAGGGGAGAAGGGAATAGACGAACTATCATGGAATGATAATGATGATGACGCTAACATTTATATAATAGCTTAAGGTTTACAAAGCACTTATTGTCTTATTTTCTCCTCACAGAAACCCTGGGAGATGGATGCTATTATTATCCCAATTTTTCAGGTAAGGAACTGGGGCTGAAAAAGGTTAAGTGACTTGCCCTGGGTCACACAGCTAGTTAAGTGTCTGAGGCTGGATCTGACTTTCAGGTCCTGCTCTATCAACTGAGTCACCTAGCTGCAGTAGTTACTTAGACTGAGAAGGCTAAGAATGATTTCATTTTAACTTCCATTATAACACTCATCATCACAATTTAAAAATTAGGAGTGAGGTTATTCCCTCCCTCAAAAATCCTTACCTGTAATTTCTCTATTTCCACAACTAGAATGGCAATCACTAACCTTGTGTGGCTTCAAGGAGAGTGACCATTATTCCTCATGGCATAGTGGAGAAGCATGTGGTTACTATGCACATGAGGTGCAATCTGTTCTAACTTCCATTTGCTCTGTGTTTCTGTCCCCTGACAGGACTATCAGAAATCAATGAAGGGCTGAATCAGGGGATATAAAACGCCTAAAGGGACCTTCTCAGTCTTAGCTCTCTTTATGAACAAGCTTCCCTTTTTATCCTTCCCCCAAGAAAACAAATAGCCAATCAATTAGTCAATAAGCATTTATTAAGTGCCTACTGTATTCCAAGCACTCTAAAAGGTTCTATGGAATACAAAGACAAATGATGAAAAAAAAAATCTCTGCTACCAGTCAAGAGCCAGTTCCCATGGTGGAATCACATAAAATGCTAATTTTCCTAGATGTTTCACAGATTTATCAGAGCAGGGATTCTTAACCTGGGGGTCTGTGAACTTTTTTCATAACATTTTAACAAGTTTATTTCAATATAATTGGTTTCCTTTATAATCTTTTATATCATATACTGTGTATTAAAAAACATCGTTTTAAGAGAAGAGTGCCATAGTCTTCACTAGACTTCCCAAGGGGTTCAGGACAAAAAAAAAAGATTAAGAATCTCTGCTATAAGAATTATGGCAAATTGATGCACCCTCTCCCTACAGAACACTCCATCGAGCAAGGATTTATGGATCCTCCATCTTCCAGCCTTGGTGTCTTGCTTGGTAGCAGGCTAGATAGCTTCCATTTACAAAGTTGGAGGACCCTCTTTGTTGTTTCAGTTGCAAGAGATGAAATCTGTATAATTATAGCTTTTCTCCCCCTTTCAGGTAGCAAATGGCTACACACAATGCAACAAGAAAGGGTGGCTGTAGTCATGAATTTTTTATAAAACCAACTGGGGTGTAAGTCAACCAAAAGGAGTGGTCTGACTACAGGCGCTGTCAAAGATGTTTGTTACCTTGTTGTACCACACAAGACTGAGAAGGCAGAATCCAAAGACTTTCTGCCCTTTCTTGGTGCAATTCATATAATTTCTTTAGAAGGTGCTCCAGAGAAAATCTCTCTAAACCAAAACTGAGACTAAAGGTCCATGCCAGACTAATAATAATTAATAATAATAAATAGTAATAATGAACCACACTATACTGCTGTTTAATAAGAATCTGTCTTCGAATCTTCTTATAATGTCATTCCATTTCCCTGACAGGAGCTTTAGGGAAAGGGTGAAGATTTTACCTACTAGAGGTTACATAAGGAAGAACGAACCTTCCCAAACTTCTGATAAAAATCTTCCTCTGCACGTGCCAACGCCTCTTCGTCGATATACACGGCAGGCCTTTTGGACAGGAGGAAGTACTGCACCTTCCTCAGATTCCAGCCCATCACATACTTGAGCCAGCCACACACGGCAGCTGTAGATCTACCAACACCAGCATTGCAGTGTACGTAGACGGTGTGTCCATTCTCAAGCAGGCTGTGGAGCAGACAGACCGCCTGAGGCAACATCTGCACTCTGCCTAGGATTGAGAAAGCAAGGCACATACACATTAGGAACAAAACCTGAATATCACAGCTAATAATCACTTGTCTGTTGCACCGTGAAATCAGGATGCTATGCAGCGTGAGACAGACAGACATCTTGTTTCTCTGCAAGGGTTGTTTGTTTGTTTTTTAAAGAAAAAGTAATAGTTTTCCAACATGGTTAATAATTTTCATGAAATCACACTTCAGTCAGGTCAACTCAAAAGCAATGGGTCAACCCCAGCAAAGGCCTTCACTTTATATTGCATCACTACACCCCCACAGAGTTCCTTCCATATCTGGGCAAATGTCACTCAACAGGAAAAGTTAACCAATATCTCGGGGGGGGGGGGGCACAGCATTTTTTCTTGACACGGATTACAGCTGTCTAGTAGGATAACCACAGACTGGACAGAACATTATTTTATTTCAAAAAGGATCTCTCACCTAACTGCACCTCAATTTCATTTCATCTACATGTCTGTCCAAGGATATTTTGTTCCATAATATTAATATCAATTCTTACCCATTTGGATCACATACTAGAATTAGTCCAGAGGATTTAAAGAAATCAATTGAGTGCATTCAGACTATGTTAATTAGAATTTATAATTCGGACTGCATAGCATGGATACATAGCAGCATAATAATCCCTGACTTGGAGTCAGGGTTTGAATGCTGCCTTTGACAGTCATTATCTACGTGACTCTAGGCAAGTGACCTAAGCTCTCAGCATATGATACAATAGTAGTATATGCCAGGGGTTTTTAAATCAGTTTTCTAACTTGCACATAAATAACATTAAATTTATTTCTAATAATATCAAAGTAAGCAAAAATGTGTACCCTAATGAACGTCAAAAAAGCTAGATATCAAAGAGAGTATTAGGTCCAGCACAGAAAGAAGAAAATCAGTAAAAGTGGCCAATATCATAGGAGACAACATTCAAGAGAAGGGGATAAAATAAAATTCACGGTCTCAGACGATTATAGGCAAATGCATAAATATGAGTAATGAGCAAGATGAACTAGAGAAACATAAGGCAAATTCACCTATATCACTGAGGCTTAGTGGGATTGAAACCATGACTAGAACGTATCTGTAAAGGAATCAACAGAAAAAGTGGGTGGTAATGTAGTAGCGCTACGTAGTAGGATTACAAGCTCATATATGAAAATCCAGGAAGCAAAGGAAGGAAAATGTTCTACAGATTCATAGAATATTACAAGTGAAAAGGATCTGAGATAACCTTCATTGTTTTCATGGACCAAGTGAAGGAAGAAAACAGAACACGGTGCTGTGATTCAAGTATACTACAGATCATTTGGACAGAAGAAGTGGACAATGAATTTAGAAAACACATCCCTAAGGCACGACAAAACCGTGACGGAGGACTTCATCTGTCCAGACATTTGTTGCAGCTCTTTCTGTGCTAAAGCAGAGCAGCTGATAAATTCTTAACTTGCCTTACTAATGTTGTTTTTCAAAAGGAAGAGGAAATAATGAGTTAAATTGCTATTTTAGGTTTGACTCTGATTAAGAAGGAGGAACTCACTGCTAAAAGAGAAATTATAAGAATCATGACAGGAAGAGACCAATTCTTTTCACAGCTTGTGATGATCAAATACCTTCTTGTTAATATCTCTAGTTCAACTTGTTTATATAATATCCATATTTTGTGCTTCTTTATGTAAATATTATATATAAATTTATATTTTGTATATATGTACATGTCTCTCCCAATAGAATGTAAGCTCCTTGAGAGCAAGTACTACTTCATTTCTGCCTATCACTTAGCACAGAACTTGACAAATCCCAACTTGTTCTGTGAAGTTTGGATTCACTCAAAGGGCTGCAGTTGAGGACCTGGAGGGCGATCTGGAGGGCCACATGTGGCCTCAAGGCCACAGGTTCCCCCCACCCCTACCCTATCCAATTCTTCATTCCTTACTGCCCAGATTTTTGTCTGCTGTAATAACCCTTTATTCCTCTTAAACTTGGTTTTTGTTTTGTTTTGTTTTTAATCTCTACTTCCTGACTTATACCAAGGATTCTTAACCTTTCTTCTGTTTCAGATCGCTTTTGCAATCTGGAGACTATTTAAAAAAAGAAAAAACAAATTCACGGGCCCCAGGTTAACAATTCCTGTCCTATACTCTGAACCTTTTATAACTAGACTTAGAGTACCTTATACTGTGCCCTGTCTTGGAGAACACAGCTGATTTAGGAAGCAACCCTTTAGGACCTCTCCTTTCCAGCCCCACTCCTGGTCCTGACTCACTCTAGGTATGCTCCTTTGCAACCTAAATCCCAGTGTAACAGTAAAACCTCCCAGGATGCTAAGCATCTTTTCTCTTTTAATCTGGAGCTAGATCTATTTGTGGGCCTCAATTTTTTTCTCTGCCCACACCAGCAAATGAGTGGAAGGAAGGAAGGAAGGAAGGAAGGAAGGAAGGAAGGAAGGAAGAAAGAAAGAAAGAAAGAAAGAAAGAAAGAAAGAAAGAAAGAAAGAAAGAAAGAAAGAAAGAAAGAAAGAAA